GCAATCTGATATAGGCTCTACTTATACATTCATATTAAGCATATTTTCACATTAGTCACAATTACATTCATTTTTTTCAAAGAAATATCTATGAAAGTGAGTTGTCAAGTACCATCTGTCAAGTTGCACTATCACCAAACTAAAGATGCCAAGTTCATTTCATTTCAAGACTCTTAGAATACATGTAAAAGAAACATATGCCTAAGAGTAATGCCTTACTTACAAACTTGAATCAGATTCAAAAGCCTTTTCTCATTTTTTTGGGGGGGGGTAGGCAATTGGAGTTAAGTGACTTGTCCAGGGTCACACAGCTAGTACATGTCAAGTATCTGGTCTGGTTTTCTCATTTCTTTTGAACTTCACATAGACATATAGCTGTCATTTGTACATTCACAGTCACATACTTACAAACATTGTATTTGTGTGTTGCATCATAAGGGTGCATAGGATATGAAAGGCAGATCCCCTGACTATCTCCAGTATTCTCCCTTGTTTCTCTCCACTAGTCCTCTGCACCTCCTGTACAATGGGAAAGTGGGATGATGATAAAGATGACAAAAGACAAAACTCATGCATTGAGGCCTCACATGTTGTGAGGGCTGTCTCCCACTTGTAGCATGGGGTGTCATTGTGCGGCTTAAAGAGAGGCATAAAAGACATCTCTATCCTCTTCTCCTTCAACTCTTCTCTAAGGGAGACTTTAATTTCTTCCAGGAGGACAATTTTCCTCTATGTCTTACCTGCTTGGAGTATATGCCTAATAGAGGCATTGCTTTGTCAAAAAGTACAATTTATTGGCCTTTTTAATATATTTCAAAATGCTTTCCAGAATAGTTGGACCAATTCATAGCTCCACCAATATTGTGCCTATCTTCCCACAGTATCTTTATGACCCCCAATCCCAAAGCCCTTTAGTATGGGACTCTTTCCTCACTGATGGAGATCAATTCCTTGTGCCTACATGAGGACTGGGTGGTGTTGATGAGACTGACAAAGAGAGCTCTTCAGCTTTTTTTGAGATTTAGGTTCTGCATTTGCTTCTGGTACTTTCGGCTTTCAGCTTCAAGACAGGAAATGGAAGATGTCAACCCCACTTCAGGTTAGTGAAGATAAAGACTCTAGGAAGAACCCAACATGTGAGGACTGTCCCTATCCCCAGCTTGCTATTCTAGGCACTTCAGGAAACTCTTTCTTGGTCTACCTGAATTACCTTGTTCCCAAAGGGAGAGCCCCTTCATTCTGTATTGTCTAATATACATTTTCCTATGTATGCCTTCTCTGACTTCTGATTTGAATAAATCGGTTTCTTGGCTAAGTGCTATGTGTGTGCTTATTGTAGAACTGGTGTTTGGTGGGAAAGGAGTCATCTTGCATATAGCGCATGGGGTCCCCAACAATGAAACAGTGAAGTTAGTTTAAACCAGAAAACCATATCCCCCGAACTAATAATATTTAAGGGAGCAGGCAAATATAATTCTAGCCTGGTACCCCAATCTCTGAGGACAGCAGAGTGGCCAAATTCCTGTTGGCTCTAATCTGCTTCCTCTCCTGGCAGGAATTAAAGTCTACCTTGAAGAAGGGTAGGAGGGAGAATAAGCTAGAAATGTCTATTCTGTCTCCCTTTAAGCCACACAATGACACACCCCCAAGCTATGTGGGGTGGACAGGCCTCAATATATCAGTTTTGTCTTTTGTCATTTTTATCAATATGATAGATAGGAGGTGAAATTTCTGAGTTATTTTAATACACACTTTGCCTTATTAGTGATTTGGAGCATTCTTTCATATGATTGTTTATAACTTCCATTTCCTCTTTTGAAAACAACCTATTTATATCCTGGGAAATGACTCTGGTTCTATATTTATATCAATTCCCTACATAGCTTGGATGTCATACCTTTTTCAAATATTGCTACAAAGATTTTTCCCAATTAACTGCTTTTTTTATTTTAATTCTAGTCACAATCATCTTGTTCATGCAAAATATTTTCCACTTTATAAAATCAAAATTGCCTGCTTTATCTCTTATCATCAAAATTGTCCACCAGCCACAGTTGTAAAAGGTATTTCCTTCAGTTCTTTAATTATTTAAATGGTGTGATCTTTTTTATTTAAGTTATAACCATTTGAAGTTTATTGTACTATACAATTTAAGATGTTCTTCTCAACTTAAATTCATCTCCACCAATAAGGAGATCAAACCAATGGGTTTTGGGACAAGGGTTACAGATAGAAATAAAGACCTATTATATGTTCTATCAAAGTAATGGAGCACTTTTTTTTGTAGTAGCAAAGAACTGGAATTGAAGTGACTTACCACCAAATGAACATGAATAATGGAATCTAGTTACTTAATATGAAACATGAAGAATTCAGAGAAACATAGGAAGATTTGTATGAACTGATATAAAGTGATCTAAGCTGGACTAGAAAAAAATAAACACAACTACTCACTCAAATACCCACCTGTATGTGACCTAATCACCATGGATATTTCCTCCAGTGATGCAGATTGTAACCCCAATAATACCTGTCTATCCTGTGTGACTTTTATGTATTTTGTCCCATAAAGTTCCCCGAAGAAGGAGTATCCAAGATGCTAGCAACTCCATCACTTTTTCTTGATTTTGGAAGAATGCCAGAATAGCGCATAGGCTATTCAGCAGGGGTGAGGGATTTGTTTTGGGAAGTTTGGATTTAGTCAAAGGGCCACACTTGAGGACCTAGAGAGCCGCATGTGGCCTCCAGGCCGAAGGTTCACCACTCCTGGTTTGGTTCTCTATCGCTTTCACCAATTGGCAAGCATGTTGCTTTTGTTCATACATCTTTTACTCCAATTTTCTTTATAATGCCTTGTGTGTTATCTGTTTCAACATGCTCATATTCATCATGATCCTCTACTTGATTGCCTTCTAAGTAAGACATGTTTCTAATTCTTCAGAGACTGTAGTGCTCCATGACAAATGGACTATGGCTGGTCACTGCATTGAATAGAATCAGTGTTGTTTTCCTTTACATTATTATGGACATTGTGCAAGTTGTCATAAAACCCTGATAATATCCTGGCACAAAAACAGATGGGCCTTTGTTTCACGAAGAAGTCCATAGTTATTAAAGGATTTTTGTTATTTTCCCAAGGGCTGAGAACATCAACATCAACTACCCGCATACATGCCTACTTTTGTAACATTTTAATGACTATTATAGACAGGAATAGAAGGATCCTTCATGAGGATATGAGTCAGGAATAGACAATTTTCCACAGTAAACCAATCCCATGATTACAACTTGCTGAAAAGGGCAGGCAATACAATATTGCTGTTATCTGTCTTTACTGACTATTTTAAAAAGCTTTTAATTCAGTAGAGCAAATCACTCCCCTTTAGTTCTCTTCCAATAAGGTAGGTGCAAAAAAAAAATTTTCAAGATTACTTGAAGGACATAACAGATAACTTCTTAGATAAAATGAGTACAGACTAGAATAACATAAATTAAAAGATCACTGCAAGGAATCTGAACTCCAGGCAACTTAAAAACCAGTGATGGTCTCAGATAACTTTTAATTAAACATTCTCACCTGTCAGCAAAAATGTTGTATACATACATCACCAGCTAAGATCACTGTATCCTGTGTTTTTAATATTTTTTTTATTAGGAGGATTCATTCTGCAGGGATGATGAAGTTTTCTTTGATGTAAAAACAAAAGGCACAAATGGTTTTTTTAAAGGAATATCAGAAAGTGGGAAAAAGAAGAGAGTTTTACATGTAGATAGAACTATTTAAGGCTGAGCAAGGCCAATTCAATAACAATTAGACAAAAATTTCTCTAATCCATGCTCACATATTCCCCAAAAGTGCAGAATGTGGATATCCCAGGATTAAGTGCCCTAATTAATTTTGTGAGGTAGTTCCACCCTGTGCTGGTAGAAATCTGGATCACTATGAAATGGAGACAATAAAGTAAGTCATCAGTATGTTTTTCCAAATCTTTCTTCTCATTTCTGCTGTAAAGAAATACCAGATAGGGGGGTGAAGGAAGAATACTAAAATAAATATTTTGTGCTGGAAAAGTACTTGTCCAGAATTTTTTACCCCTGTTCAACTTGCCAAATACCATTATTTCTTATCTTGTTGGCTTTAATTTGATATCAACTAACGTTTTGTTAGGGTCAGCTAGGTGGTACAATAGATGGAGTGACTGGCCTGAAGTCAGGAAGCCTCATCTTTCTGAGTTCAAATCCGGCCTTTGACACTTACTAGTTATATAACCTGAGCAAGTCACTTAACCCTGTTTGCCTCAGTTTTCTCATCTGTAAAATGAGCTGGAGAAGGAAATGGTAAATCGCTCCAATATCTTTGCCAAGAAAACCCCAAATAGGCTCACAAAGAGTCGGAAGTGACTGGACAACAAAGTTTTGTCATGGGAGCGGGGGAGGGCCAAGTGCTAGACCAATGATTAATTGGGGTGGGAAATCCCTCACAGATGTATAATATGGCAACTGGATAATAATTTACAGTCATAGAGAGCTGACTGAAGCACTGAGCGGTTAAGAGATTTATTTGTTCCATGACCACACAGCTACTATGTGTCCAATACTTGAGCTGAAATATTCTTGACGCCAAGGCCAAGCCTCTACCCACACTGCTTATCGTGTTGAAGAGGGGGAAAAATGGGATAACTTTTGAGTGTTTTTATCATGTGCTTTAAATAGCTCTGGGTTCTGATGCACCAATGTTTTTTCTTTTGCTGAAATTTACATCCCACTGTCTTTAGCAATTCCATCCAGCCCAGTAGAAGAGCATCACAAAGCGTGGGGAGTTAGGGGTGCCAGTGTGCCAAGAAGCTAGTAATATCCAACGTTTATTTGTTATCTTTTTTTTAATTATTATTTTTTTGGGAAAGGCCAAGGGCGTGTGTGTGTGAGTGTGTGTGTGTGTGTGTGTGTGTGTGTGTGTGTGTGTGTGTGTGTGTACACACCCAGACGTGAAGTGCAGGTCTAGACCGTCCAAGGAAGGAAGGCAGATGCGGCCAAGGCCAGCCCACCCCCTCGCAGCCCCTATGGCTCCACCTCCGCAGGCTCCGGGGGAAGAGACAGCCACCTCCCAGATCTTCCTTGAGCAGGCGAGCCCACCGAGGGGTGCCTCGTCCACCCCACCTACCCAGTCCCCTCTGCACGCTTAGCTTCCCCCAGGACTGAGTGGCAGCGCCGAGCAGGGTGTCCCAATGGCCAGCGCCGCGCTCGGGGCGGTCACGCAGCAAATTTGCAGCCTGGGCCCGCTGCAGCCTCCGGAGCCGGAGCGCGGCTTGCCCTTGGCCGAGGACGTGGCCGAGCTGCCGGTGCTGGATGCCTCCGGCAAAAGGATCCCGTTCGGGGCGCTCTTCAGGGAGCGCCGAGCCATCGTCGTGTTCGTGCGGGTGAGACCTGGCTGCAAAGTCCCACATCGGAGCGGGGAGGTTTCGCCTCCCCTTCCCTCCCTGGAACAGCTTCCTCCTCCGGCCTAGTCTTAAAGTTGCTTCTGACCTGCTTCAAGGAGAGGCTGTAGGTTCCTGGGAATCCGGGACAGGAGGAGCTTTATTGCTTTCTTTTTCCTCCCCAGAGTATTAAAAGACCTTTCCTGTGGCAAAGGACTCTTAACCTTGATTATCTCTTTTGGCATTGTGGTCTACTGACCCCTTCGTAGGACGACTTTTTAAATACTTAAAATACATTGATTACGAAGGAAACCAAATATTGGTTTGAAATAGTTATCAAAATATTTTTTATAACAATAAGTTCATGGTCCCATCCGGCCTAGAGAGAGAAGCCAAGAGAATGAGAACATAGGTTTGTGGTCCCGCTCCCTTCCTCAGTATGAAAGTCCTGTTTCTTTTGCTTTTTGAAAGAGGAAAATGCAAAATAGCTGTCAGGCTCTTCAGCCTCTGGTTTGGAAGGTGTATTTCTCTCCTTTCTTCCTGTTCCCAAACACAACAACAACAAAGGAGGTGGTGGATTCTTTTCAGTTTTAATATGACTGGTCCGCCCATGGCACCTTTTGCTGAACATTTACTTGTATGGAGTTTATATAAACTCGGCCCCTTCTAGATGTTTGGTTACCTCTTGCTCATGTGAGTTCCTAACCTGCCTACCTTGCTGCATTGATGTTTCAGCATTTCTTGTGTTACATCTGTAAAGAATATGTGGAAGACCTGGCCAAAATCCCTAAGAATTTCTTACAAGTAAGTTTCCTGAGTGGGAATAATCTGTATGTTAAATGTGCAAGAGAAAGATTTGTCCATCAACAAGTGTTTATTAAGGGTGCCAAGCAGCAAGCTAGGTGCTAGAATTACAAATTATATCCTCTGACTTCAAATAGTTTATATTCTATCAGGAGAAAAAAAACTTGTGTACATGTAAGTAAATACACACCTTCTGCAGTATGCCCAAAAAAGGGTCATCTAGCCTTTGCTTTGATATCTCACGTGAGAGAAAACCCATTACCTCTAAAGGCAGCCTATTCCATTTACTCTAATTTTTAGGAAGATTTCCCTTACATTAAGCCTTAATCTACCTCTCTGCAAGGTCTGTCCATGGCTATTAGTTTTATCCTCTGGGGCCAAGCGAAGTAACATCTTCCATGTGGGAGCCCTTCAAATAATGTTTACAGACAGATGATCATTTCCCTGTTAAGCCTTCTCCAAGCTAAATATGCACAATTTATTTCAGTAACCTGGGATATAATATCTAACATTTGTATAGCACTTAAGGTTTGCAAAGCACTGTACATATATTGTTTCATCTGATCCTCCCAAACCCCGTGAGGTAGATATTATTTTCAGTTCTACAGATAAGGAAACTGAGGCTGAGAAAGGTTAAGTGACTTCCATGTTCTCATAGCTAGGATGTGTCTGAAAGGCAAAATTCAAACTCAGTTTTTCTTGATTCCAGGGCCAACATTCTATCCACTATGTCACCTAGCTCTCTGGGTTAACTAATTTGCCTTCAATTATCCAAGCTTCTTTCTTACCACCATCTTACTTATCTTAGATTTCAATTCACTTCACCATTTTTGTCCTATCCTTCTCATCTGAAAATAATTTCAGAACCCCTTTTCACAAGCTGAGGAGCTTGTCCTAGATTCTAGAAGATATGGGTCTGCAGGACTTCAAATGCTTCCTAGTCAGGACCTGAGGTACATGGTCTCAGTGTAATGTGATACTGGGTGGCAGACAGCACTAGGCTGTGCATTAGCACCCTTCAAACCCCCAAGATGGTAATAAATCACAAGCTCAGTAAGCAATACATGTCGAGTACATAAATACCATAGGATTGAGCCAGCCCATGCAAATAGATATCAGTCAGATCTAGAGAAGTTGGCAGAAACACACTAATACACGCAGGAAATGAGGACTGAAAGATACCAGGCTCCAAAATCTCTCATTTTTACTGCTTTGTTGCACTAGCAACAATCTTTCTCTCAGGTTTACACATGTATTTGGTTCGGCTTCCCTGTGCTTCTTTCTTACCCAGAATGACCATTTGCAGAAGTCTTGTTGTTTCAAAGATACAGATGCAAATTTTATTTTCTGACTTTAAACCTCAGTACTTTATGTTCAGCAAAAATACATTTGATACTTCTTCATTGGGATGTGTGAAAGTAAAATGAATAGAGAATATCTGATTAAATAACTACTATTAATTGCTTTTACTCTTCCCTCATACACTTTTTATGGTAATAAAGCTCATTAATCATATAATTTAGGGAAATCTTACTTATTGAAAGAGTTATCTAAATGCGATTTGTGTCCCTAAAATACTTTAAAAATTTATTGATAGGGGGAAGCTACGTGGTGTAGTGGATAAAACTCCAGCCTTGGAGTCAGGAGGACCTGAGTTCAAATCTGACCTCAGACCAAACGCTTGACACTTACTAGCTGTGTGACCCTGGGCAAGTCATTTAACCCCAATTGCCTCAAAAAAAATTATTGATAGCTTTCTTTTGACTCAGCAGACACTTCCCAACAAACAACAAACACTTTCCTCCCCCGTACACATGATACTTTGCCCTTTTCTAGTTAATTGACTTTTAACAGAAAGTATGAGTGCTTTAACTCTGTTAATTTGGCACCATTATTCTGTTATATCATATCTGAGTTCTTTTGCCTTTTGGTGACAACCTCTTTATTTGAATGACCTTCACTTGTGGCACCCTGATTTCAAGAAATACTAATTCCATTCTTCCTGACCTTCTACTGATCACCTATGGCCTAAGTTCATTGCTGATTCTTCAATCCTTCTGAGGCAGCTAGTGGTGCAGTGAATAGAGTACTGGGCCCAGGAGACAGGAAGACCTGAGCTTGTCTCCCACCTCAGGTACTTACTCGATGTGTGACCCAGGAAAGTCACTTAACACACAGTTTTCTCAACTTTTGTAATGAAGATTATAATAACACCTGCTCCACAGGTTTATTGTGAGGATCAAATAAGATAATATCTGCAAAGTGCTTAGCACAGTGCCTGGCCCATAGTAGGTACTATGTATGTATTGCCTTCCCTTCCCCCTCCTTCCATGACCTGTTAACAGAGTAGGATTCCCATACCCTATGACAGTAGGCTTTTCTCCACTTTGCAACTTGTAAGCACTTGGCCATCATCTAGTTTTTTTAAACTATTTGAATCTGGAAAAATAGGATCATCGTTTAGTTATGGAAGTGACCTTAGTGGACATCAAGACCAATTCACTCATTTTATAGATCAGGAACCCAAGGCACAGAGAGGTTAAGTGACTCTCCCGGGGTCACACCACTAAGTGTCAGAGATGGGAGTCAAACCTAGGTCCAAGGTGCTATCATTTGTTACCATTTGCATTTTTAAAAACTTTGCTCACCTTTGATCTTCTTAAAAAGTATGTTTGAAAACATCAATTATGTTAAAAAAAAAATATTTCCCCATATAGGGTTATACTTACCTTTTTTTTCAGGATAAGTTATCTTTGGGTACAAGTCATTTTCCTTTGCTTTTTGGTATCTTATTTTCCAGCTTAGTCTTTAATTTCTCAATTTGTACTTGATACAATATGATACTGTTAGTAGTAATGCTGCATCTGGAGTCAAAGGTCCAGGGTTAAAGTCCTACCTGTGTGACTATGGGTAAGTCACTTATCCTTTTCAGACCTCAGCTTCCTAATCTGTAAAATAAAGAGATCACAGTAGATGACCTTGAGGGTCACTTGTAGCTCCAAACTGATAATGTGATCTGTGCCTTTTTGGCTACTTGTGAGATATTTCCTGAAGCACTGGAATTTGTCAAATACTTTTAACAGTGAGCTAAGTTTAGGCCTCCTCTCTTAGTAGCCTGTGAACCAGCTCTTTGCCCTCTAGTTTCAATACTAAAAGGAATTTTCTTACATGATTTCTTACAATGTGGTATATACATGCACTCTATTTCGTCATGAGTTTCTTTCTTCTTTTTTTTTGGAAGCCAGTTATTAGATTATTAAATTAGGGCCATTCACTGAAGCAATTGAAACGAGGGCTCCTTGAATTTGAGAAATTTTATTATAAGGAGACTTGATTAGTTCCTTCTGCTAATTTTAGTTCTTTTATTTGGTGGCAAATTATGAAGTGACCCAAGTGTCCTAAAGGGGGGGGGGAGAAGGTCACATGCCAAATTTAAATGTCATAGAAGATTAAAGTATAATCTTCACATCTGGCTAGAGACATAAGTAGGACACTTGAGGCCTTTATATCTTCATCTAGCTTGGGGCAATGGCATGGCAGTTGCTTAGGTTGTGATAGTATGGCCTCCCAGCTTTCCTTTTTTGTGTAGTAAAATCTCTCCTGAGTGTTAGAGATGCCCCTTCCTTTTCTGGTGTTCCAGGATAGTGATTGGTGGAACAAGGTGTTATATATTACCTCCACTTCAGGATCTAAATTCTTCTATCTCTGAGCACAGTAATTAGTCGTGAGGGATGAGAGTGGAATGTTCCCTGATGTATTCAAAGTTAGCTAAAAGGAGACACACGGAGAGTGTTCACAATGCCTGCTGCTCTGGTGCTATCTGGGCCAAGATGGGCATTTTACCTGTGAAGTAATTATTCATGGATAATGAACACTTATAGGATACATGCCAATTACCAGGCAGGTGTCAGAAAAAATGACCTTCAGTTGTTCTCTGGAGAATCAAAAGTCTCCTATAGTGTTTATTTTCTCTATGATTCAATATGTGAAATTCTAACTCAGGAGAAAATAAATAAATGTCCCATCCACAAAGATCCTAACAAGGTGATAAAGGCCTTACTTATTAATATAGTTATATATAAATATGTGTGTGCAATTTTATTCTATAGTAACCAGTTTTCATTCATTTATAGTACTTAGATGAGGAAAGATAGCACTTGGCAGTTACAGAGTTCTAGAAAGCAACACTATATCTCATACACATAGCAAGAAAGGCCTACAGAGCTTCAGAGACCAAATATGGAAAGTGTCACAAAACTTAAAGTTTTGTAGGGCTTGCCACAATTGTCTTACCAACCAGTGTTCTTAGGGTAAGTTGCTTTAATTTGTAGGGACCTTTCATGTTCTTCCAATTTTACTCTTTTTGCTTTTGCTTTAGTATTTTTATTACACCTTTGAATTTTGGCATTCCATCTCTTCCATTCTCTTTTTCAGGGTGTTCACTGCTTTATTCATTTTTTAAAAATCTTTTCTCAACCATTTTCACTCTTTGAATTTTTCTTTAAAAGTCTGATTTACTTTTTTATTTATGATTTATTTATCTCTTCTTTTAATGCTTTCATCAAGCATTAAAAAAAAAAAGTGAGGATTTCCATTCTGTTTTCTGGAGTTTTTTGTTCCACCACCATGGGGATTTCTCCTCTTCTTCCTTTTATGTCATAATATTTCTTCATTCAGGAGAAATTTTTTTGCTTACTTGCTTGTTCACCATTTTCCTCCAGGATTTTCCTTGTAAGAAAAATATTTCCTTTTCCTTCTTTTTGTTCTTTGTTTACACTATTTCATTTTGCTAACTATTTTGAGGTAATGAGGGAGAGCTGGGCTTAGTCATGATCTGTTACTGAACCATCTTGCCAGAACTCATGATTTAGAATTAGCATACCTTTTTTGTTATTGCTTATACATTTTTGGAATCTTTCATTCTGGTGCAGTAGAACATTGTTATTAAAATAGAATAAAAATTGAAGGGTGAGGATACAGATGTAAAATAAATGGTTCCTAATGAATAAGATATTTGTTAAAGTGCTTTATGAGACACCATTAAAGACAAGCTATAATCTTACATAGTCAAATCTTTTTTTTCCTCTCTTAAAGGCTGCCAATATCACACTAATAGTTATTGGACAGTCATCTTTCCAACACATTGAGGTATGTAGTCGGTAAGTAAGAAAAATTGTATTTCTTGATCCAAATCTATGATTCTATTGCTGTATAGAGCTCCCAGTGTGGAAATTCCCTCCACTGGTGCTGAGCTGCAACTATTTATAACTTGTCATCTCTCAGATACTCCCCTAGGGAATTTAGAGGTAAAGACTATGTGTCAGAGACAGAACTTGAATCCAATTCTTCCTAACTGTATCCACTGTGCCATACTTCCTCTCTACTTAGAAAAAAGTGAGATTAAACCAGCTTACTTTCAGACATTAGATGTGTACATTATGTAAATTTTTTGGCTGCAAGTTAGTTTTTACGAATAAAATTAAATCAGTGTTATTTTTTTCATATTTTTCCTTTTGAAAGACTCAATTTTTCTTTTTCTTTCCTAGCCTTTCTGCAAGTTGACAGGGTATTCTCATGAAATTTATGTTGACACTGAGAGAAAAATTTATAGAAAACTTGGAATGAAGAAAGGTGAAGGAATTGCTACATCAGGTAAATACACTTCTGGGTCTTTCATTTTACTGTAGAAAACATTTTTTCCTTTTGTGAATATATTTGTTTGTGAATCTATAAACATGTATTATAGTGGGGAAAAGAATAGTTAATAATGAGTCAGGGGTCTTTAAATGAATCAGGAGTCTTTAAAAATTTATTGATATTTTGCTTTTTACATCACCTTAATTTCCAAATTTTTCTTCCCAACTCCCCTACATAGAGAGCCATGTTTTGTAAATAAACAGAAAAGAAAGAAAAGAAAAAGTCATTCAGCAAAACTAACCAACCCATCAGTTGAATCTGAAATGTATGCAGTGTTCCTTATCCATAGTCCACCACCTCTGAGAAGCATCTAAGGATGGGCTTTTTCTTATCTCTTCTCCAGGATCAAGCTTGGTCATTATCATTACACAGTATTCAGTTTTGTTGTTTTTATTTCATCTGCATTTTTTTAGTCATTTTGCAAACTTTTTTGGTGGGGGGGGTCTATTTCCTCTGTATCAGTTCATATAACTCTTCCCACACTTGTCTGAATTCTTTCTATATTCACTGTTGTTTACATTGTAATAGTATTCCATTATATACATGTAACATGACTTATTTAGCCATTTCCGTATCAGTGGACATCTACTTCATTTCCAGTTCTTTGCTATCACAAAAAGTGCTGCTGTGAATATTTTGGTGTGCAATTTGACCTTATTTTCTGTCTTAGACATCTTTGGGGTACATACTTAGAGATGGAGTCTCTAAGACAAAGGAAAGGACATTTTAGCGTCTTTTAAAGGGTAATTCCAAATTGTTTTCCAGAATGGTTAGACTATTTCACAGTTCCATCAAAAGTGGAAAAAGTTGCTGCCTGTCTTCTAGCAGCAATTTCAGTATTAATAATAATAGCTAACTTTTATATGTAATTCTTACTATGTGCCAGATGGGCCACTGGGTTGCTCAGTGGATAGAGTACCAGGCCAGGACACAAGAAGACTCATCTCTGTGAGTTCAAATCTGGCCTCAGACACTTCCCCAGCCCTGTGTCTCTGAGCAAGTCACTTAGCCCTGTTTGCCTCAGTTCCTTGGCTGTAAAATGAGTTAGAGAAGGAAATGGCAAACCCCTCCAGTATTTTTGCTAAAATAACCCTAAACGAAGTAACGAAGAATTGGACATGATTGAACAACAGCAACAACAAATGTGCCAGGCACACTGTGCTAAGCCCTTTTTAATTAGCCATTTGGCTTCCAAGGTCCCTTCTATTTTAAATCCATTATCCTATGACTCTTATTAGAGATATATAATTCAAGGTTTTTCCCATTTGACCACATCCCATTTTATCTTAGTTGAATTGTATTCATTCAAAAATTTCATATAATCTAAACTGCCAAATTTAGGGGGTTTTTTGTCAAATTTAAAATGTTTTTTTCTGATTGCCTTTATTCTTTGTTTAGATTAGAACTCTCCCATTAGTCATAGTTGTGAACACCTTGAAAATCTTACTGTCTTCTATTTTTTAATGGCATGATCTTTTCTATTCAGGCCATATCTCTACTTTTAGCTTATGCTGGTATACAGTAAAAGTTTTTAATCTAAACCCCATTTCTGCCAAATTTTGTTCCAGTTTTTCCCTCCAGCAGTCAAATAAGAAGTCATTCCTAAGTAATGTATGTTCTCATATTTATTGAACACTAGTTAATTCATTTACTGTTTCTGATTCTTCCTTATCTAGTCTCTTTTACTGATCTACTTTTCTATTATTAATCAATACAAATTACTTTTAATGATTGCTTCTGTATCATATAAAATTATATTTTTACATTATTTGCCTTGAGAAACTAGAATTTTTGTTGATCCAGATTAATTTTGTTATTTCATCTAGCATCATAAAGAATCCCCTTGTTAGTTTGATTAATCTGGCACTAAGTCAATAAATTAATTTAAATAGCATAGTCATCTTTATTACATTGGTGTGAGCAATTCCAAATAATTTGAAGCAATCCTTCCAATTATTTAAGTCATTCCTTATTTCTTCACAGTATTTTATAATTGTATTTATATAAGTCTTGAGTGTACCTTAGCAGATTGGCCCTCAGATATTTTATGTATTATGCAGTTTTTTTAAAACTTCCCTTTCTATTATTTCCTCTGTTCAAAGGCTTTAAAAATTATCATTTTATGAGGGCTAATAATTTCTTATTTCAAGTTAGATATTCAATCTTCATTTAGGATCTTAGTTCCCTGAAATAGTAATTATTATGTAGGGGGTTGGGAGACAGAAGAGAGGCAGGTGTGAGTGGAGGAGTATCATATGAATCATGACCATGACATTTTGAGAGCATCATTCCTGTGCTCTTTGAAAATCCTAATAGATTCTACATTGATAGAGCTCTGTGTAATTAGGATAATAGGCTCATATACAGAAATGAAAGGGACCTCAGAGGCCCTTTAATCCAACTCCTTCATTTTACAGATAAGTTAGGTGTGAACTGTTTAGTTTGGCTTAGTTTCTGCCTAAACTAAAAGTGATTCCTATAGTAAATATGTAAAGGTTGAAAGATAACAGATATCCTCCGTGATCCAGGATACCCCCTTTCATAAGGGGCCCCAGCTCTGTCTTCACACAGGCCAGTTCATCTGGGAAGAGAGTCAGATTTTTCTGTCTGGCTCTGTCCTCATCCTGGAGTAGAAATTTCTAGAACAATGATTAAGGTAATAGAATATCTTCTAGAAAAGTCAGTTAATGTACAATATGGAGATTCAGTCTAAGACAGCTGTTTATATATCCTTTGTCACAGAAAATATTTAAGATGCAAAGGATTGAACAGCACACATGAAGAAATGCCAACAGCAAAACACATTTCAAATGCTATTCATTCTATTCCCCGTGGAAGTTAATGGCAACTTTGTAGAGCTGCGTGAGAGAGATTTAACTTTCACCTCAGACCTTCACTATCGGAGTCACCCACAAGGTCCAGATCTCCTGGCCAGCCAGGACATGGATTTCTTTAGTTCTTTGTCTCTGGGATGATCCTGGTGATGTCCATATTCTCCTCTGAGAAGTTCCTCATTCTCTGCTTCACTGATAGCCTGATTTCAAACTCAGTAACCTGTGAGGTGGGTAACTGGCAAGGTTGAAAAATGGTCCATTTCTCAGAATGTTGGTTGCCTATGCTCAAGAAAGGAAAGAGAAGGGACCTGAAGTCCAGTCTCCTGGACTAGTACACATTATTTCTGCTATATATTTGTAGATTCTATTGTTACTGGGGAATGAGGCAGGGGGATCAAGAGAGAAAAAACTTCTTCCTCCCCTCCCCTACCCCTGCTACAAGTGAGAGAGTGTTGGAAGAGTCTTAAAAGAGAAGGATCCCAAAGACAGAGATATTGCTCCTCATTCATCTTATAGACCAACATAGACAGTTCTTCCTCACTCTCAGGGCAGCGTCCAGTCTCTGGGGACCAATCAGGAGTTTCTATGTCATTCCAGCAAATTGCATATCACTTAGCAAAGAGACAGAACACGTATCAAGTTCTGTGGGATGTGTCCCTTTCTGATTAAGATCCACACCCTGTAGTTTTATCAGGTAGATTAGGATGGGAGAGGGACTCAGTTGACTAGGGGTACCCTTTATCACCTCCCTACTACACAGAGATTTTCTAAATTTGTTTCTGCTAATTGTTTATGCAGCCCATAGAAGCTTTTGAAGATACTATCTCAACTCACACTCTTATAGATGAGTCTTGGGTCCTGGAGCAAGGCTATGTCTGCCCCTCAGGACCCTAAGGGTACCCCTGAATTGAGGGTGATTATCTAGTGCCATTGTTTTGAGCTTCCACTAATGTGCTTCACCCCAATATTATCAGTTGAGAACCATTTCAGAAAACTAGCTTTTAAGGAAGGAGTATTTCTACGGTGAGAAGAGTTGGTAGAAAACATCCCCACAAAGACACTCTCATATAAGTACATGCAGAGTTTCCAGGAAAGTAGGCTTAAACATAAATGGTATATGTGGCAAAGGAGTAATTCTCAGCTCTTAGATGTTGGAAGTTTTCTTATCCCATTTGTGGGGTGCTCAAGAAATTTCCCTTAGGCATGATATGCATTCTTTGCTAGACTCCTTATAGAGCTATAAATCTCTGTCCAGTTTGTCTTTGGCTGCCAGTACTGATGCTGCCAGGACACTTAATAGGAAACTGGGAAATCCAGAGTCCTCTAGACCCTTTGAAACTCACAATGTCCTCTTCTGGCCAGTGTTGGGGGAAGGAGAGAGGAAGAAGAACTAGCCAAAGCTGAAGCCAGAAGCCTCTCCTCCCCATTCCATCCCCAGGGTGTTACTCTTTGGGGGTTTTATTGGAAAGCCACATGTTTCAAACTCTCCAGTGACTCCAGCTTGAAACTAGCTTGACAGTTTATCTAGGTGGATGACTCTAGGAGCATGACCAGTTCTCTCTGACCTATCCAAAGCTTTCTTCCTGTGCAATGTAATTCCATTTCCAAGTATTTTTAGCACTTAGTTTAAAGCCTGTGATTGAGATTGATTGAGCATCTTATCACTTACTTTAAGTGAGCTCACTTGATTGAATAAATTAATCACTCCACTGTATACTTATAAAGGCAGTATGGTGTAAGGAATTTAGATTAAGAGGACCCTAATTTGAATTCTGACTCTAATGCTTGGCACTTATGTGGCTTAGTACAAGTCACTTACATTCTCTTCACCTCAGTTTCATTATCTGTAAGATTAGGGTGTTAAACAAGATGACATCTAGGGTTTTTTCCCAACACTAAATCTATGAGCCTATGATTCTGTTAAATCCTCTTGTTTCTTGTTAGCTCCTAATAGGGAAAAGTGGCTTTTTTTTCCCCTAGTGAAAAACAAAAAAATATACATCTCAGAATTGAATACAGGGCATTCTGTTTGTTAGACAGGACATACAAAAGTAAAATTTTGATTTAGATAAAGTTAAGCGAGTGAGAAGAATTGAGGTAAAGAAAGCAGTTAACTGCAAAAGTAGAATGGTTTGAAAAGTGGTGAATTTGAGAAATTTAATACAAAAGTGGTGAATGAAAGTAGACCAACTAGAACTGTAACTGACTGACAAACAGGATTATTAAATACCAGAATCAGTAACCAAAGATTTGAACAGCTTCCCTGAGTGTGAGGGTCAGCCTGACCTCTACAGTAATCTTTTGATTAGACAATTTTCTTGCCACATAAAGCTAAGTTTGAATAATATTAAATAAATAACAAATATTTTCTCTATACTTTTTTCACACACAGAACTTTTTTTTTTGGCTAGGCAATGGGGTTAAGTGACTTGCCCAGAGTCACACAGCTAGTGAGTGTTATGTGTCTGAGGCCGGATTTGAACTCCAGTACTCCTGAATCCAGGGTCAGTGCTCTATCCACTGCACCACCTAGCTGCCACCCTGCTTCCCTGAACTTTTTTCACAGAACAAAATTGATAAGGAATGCTTGGATACAACCCAGTGCTTGTTCAGGGTTTGCTCAGCTCTTGTTTTGATTCTACTCAAAGCTTGTGTTTTGGGTCCCCTAAATTAGATTAACCTATCAACTGATGTACGTCTCACTCTGCTCTTCTAGAGACTACCTACTGCCTACGTGAGGCCAGACAGACACATGTCCTTTATAACCTTGTCTGGGCTCTCTATAAGGTAACCTCACAGATGCTCAAGAAGGGAGCCATCCCTTGTTTCTGGCTCTCTGCCTGTCAAACAACCTAATGAACTTCTTTTAAAACTATTTCAGATTTTAGGGTTCATTCTCATGACTAACAAAAAATAAAAGCAAATTGAGTCTTTCATGTATAATAACCTTTGCAAGACTGCACTCTCAAATCCTAGGCGGTCAAGGACAAAGGAGGGAACAAAGTAAGGGTGATCAAGGGAAAGACTTGTTAGAAATAGACGTATTTCTTGTTTTTGTACTAGACAATGGGGTTAAGTGACTTGCCCAGGGTCACACAGATAGTATCAAGTATCTGAGGCTGTATTTGAACTCAGGTCCTCCTGACTCCAGGGCCAGTGCTCTATTTACTGTGCCACCTAGCTGCCCCTAGAAATAGACTCATTTCTAAAAAAGACTTAGTGATCAGATGTATGGGATAGTGAAATGGTCACCCAAAGTAGACTCAGGAGATTTGGGTTCAAGTTTCACCTCTGCCACAGTGGTTGCATGATATTGGACAGCCATTGGGCCTCAGTTCTCTTCATCTGTATAATGAGGGTATTGAACTAGATGATTTTGAATATCTCTTCCAGCTTGGCATTATATGGTCAAGAAAGAGAGTAGCAGAAGGATCAAGAGATAAAATTTAGAAAGTGAAGGAAGTTTTATTCCATCAGTGGTGTGGGAGTGAGGTTAAAGAATCAAATTCACTACAGGAAAAGAAAAAAAAAGTTGGCAAACAAATAAAAGACAAAAAATAATACTTGGGAAAGATAGGAGGCACTTAGTGGTAAAGTGAGTTGGGAGTGGAACAAATCAAGGAGCAGAAAAAAAAAATCACGACCAGTATGGCCAACAGAGCAGGAGTAGGAGGAGAAAATTAACTAAATCTACAATTGCTCCCTTTATAGGCAAAAATCATAAGTGGGAAATAGAAAGCAAGACTAGTAAGGTAAGTTGGCACATTTGTGAGGAAGATGTCACGAGAGGCTAAAAATTTGTTTAAAATGTTTTTATATTTATTTTAAATCTTAAAAATTGTGTTCTACTGATGCCCTTTATTTTTATATTACCATCATTTCTAGATATACTGCCTTCCACCCCTACCTTAGAAACGAATTCTCAGGGGCAGCTAGGTGGTGCAGTAAGGAGAGCACTGGCCCTGGAGTCAGGAGGACCTGAGTTCAAATCCGGCCTCAGACCAAATACTTGACACTTACTAGCTGTGTGACGCTGGGCAAGTCATTTAACCCCAATTGCCTAAAGGAAAAAACAAAAAGAGAGAGAAAAAAGAAATTAATTCTCCCTTGCGAACAAAGAAAACAGTAAAACAAAAACAAGCAGTATAGTGACCAATCTTTCTGCTGAGAAGAGGGAAATATGTTTTATTATCTATTCTCTGGGACCATTATTGGTTTTCATCTCCTCAAAGTCTGATTTCCTTTTAGTAATTTATTCATTTACATTGTTGTTAGCATTATGTATAGGGTGGCCCTCTAGGTCCTCAAGTGTGGCCCTTTGACTGAATCCAAACTTCACATTCCCCACACCTGAATACTGTTTTTCTGCTTACACACATTTCACTCTGTCGGTCCAGAAAAATTTCCCATGTTTCAATAAATTCCTCATATTCATCACTTCTTATTACACAATAATATTTCATTACATTTGTGATCAGTTTATTCATACATTCCTCAATTGATGGACAACCACATTGTTTCACTTCCCTCACTATCACAAAAAGTGATTCTTTTAGTATTTTGGCATGTATTGGATATTAGTGTCTGCTTTAGATTTCCTTCAGATACATGCCCAGTATTAGCAATGCTAGGTCAAAGAGTAGGAACAGAGTAATTACATTTCTTTGTTGTTGTTCAGGTATTTCAGTCATGTTCAAATCTTCATGACCCCGTTTGGGGTTTCCTAAGGGAAGATACTAGAGTGGTTTGCCATTTCCTTCTCCAGCTCATTTTTTACAAATGAGGAAACTGAAGCAAACAGGCTTAGGTGACTTGCCCAGTGTCACAGAGCTAAGCATCAGATTTGAACTCAGGAAGATGAATCTTCCTGACTCCAGGCCCATCACTGTATCCACTGCTCCACCTTACTGCCCCAGTTACATTTCTTGCATAATTCTTAATTAATATTCAGAATGATTAAACCAGTTCATAGTTCCAACAACAGTATATTGGCATGCCTGTCTTCCCACAGAGAGACTAATGACTTTTTGAACCTAATCCTTATAAAATATGAATTAATGTAACTGAAAGATGAATGCTAACCATTTTAGTGCGGAGTCCACATGTGAAATCCAACTTACTGTCAGGAAGCATTCAAAGCCTTTGGAGAGCGGTGACTGGCCCTGTCTTTGATTTTCAAGGAGATCCAGCTCAGCAAGGTGGAACGCTTATTTTAGGTCCTGGTAAGTCTCAGTTTTAAAACCAAGTAGCTTCATTAATTAGCTGTCTAGTCTCTGTGACTTTTCTTTACCATTATCAAAATGCAAAGGCCATTCCCATCTTGAGCACCTTTTCTTCTCTTCAGCATAGTAAATGCTTCTATCTTTCTTGCTTTACCCGGTGCACAGTAAGTGTTTAATAAAATGCAAGGTTGATTAATTGATTGACTAACCTAGGGACTTCATCTTTTCATCCAATACTTTACATTTTCAAATGTGTTCATGGCTTCTCTTTCTGATGACTAATTTAATGTAATACTCTCCATATTCAGAGAGCAAGTAATGTCAGATCACTGAGACTGTAGGGATGAGCGAAAGAGATAAACTAAAGTAATTCTAGTTTAGTGATTTGCAGATATTTTGTAAAATATTGTTCAGTTCCACAGAGTTCATAGGATCGTGATTAAATTGAATAAACATTTATTATGCACCTACTATGTGCCAGGCACTGGTGATACAAATAAGAAAAAGACAACCCCTATTATCAGTGCTTACAGTCTAAGAGAGGAAGTTGGTACACATAAAGAAGCTGAAAAGGAGGGAGTGGGCACTAGGGGATACCAGGGTTGGGGATGTGATGCTCTGTGGAGTCAAAACCGAGCAGAACTGCTGACCTGGAAAGTTCTGAAACTTCTGAGCCCTCTTTAAAGAAAGCTTTGAAGGGGCAGCTAGGTGACACAGTGGACAGAGCACCAGCCCTGGAGTCAGGAGTGCCTGAGTTCAAATCCAGCCTCAGACACTTGACCCTTACTAGCTGTCCTGGGCAAGTCACTTAATCCCATTGCCCCACCCAAAAAAAGGGAGAGAGAGAAAATAGGAATTGTTTAGGGGCAGCTAGGTGGCACAGTGGATAGAGCACCAGCCCTGGATTCAGGAGGACCTGAGTTCAAATCTGACCTCAGACACATAACACTTACTACCTGTGTGACCCTGGGCAAGTCACTTAATCCCATTGCCTAATCCAAAAAAAAATAAATAAATAAAGCTTTGAGAAAAGATTTTGCTCTACTCATCAGCCCTCAAATCAGATGGGAGAGGCAACTAAGGGAGTTGAGAAGGTATTGAGTAACAAAAACTGAGACACGTTAGCATGGTGCTGAGATTTCAGGTTATCAGCTTATCCAGAGTGAGGTTTTTGATTCCATGTTCCATGGAGTCAAAAGCAAGTAGAGCTGCTAATGGAAAATGATGAGTCCCCATTGATTTAGAGATAGAAACTTAGAGATCATCTTTTTTAATTTAATGTAATTTAACCTCTACATTTAACAGATATGGAAACTGAGGCCTAAAGTGATTAGTTAAGTAGCTTGCCCAAGGTCACCCAAGGAGTGTCATGCAAAGCTGAGATTTGAACCCAGGTCCCCTGACTTACAATCCAGCACTCTTTTCACTGCTGCTTGACCAACTTAATTTTTTTTATCAACAGAAGATTTAGAATTTATTTCACACCTTATAAAACTAGGCATGTATTTGTGAAGTGCCCTTTTAGAAGCAGCTAGCTGGTACAGTGGATAGAGTACTGGACCTGAGGTCAGGAAGAGCTGAGTTCAAATTCGATTTCAGATGCTTACCAGTTCTATGGTCTTGGACAAGTCATTTAACCTCCCTCAGTCTCAATTTACGCATATATAAAATGAGTATGATAATAATGCCTACCTCTTGGGGTTGTTGTGACAATTAAATTAGATATTTGTAAAGCTCTTTGCAAACTTTAAAGCTCTATATAAATACTAGCTATTATTATTATTATTTGGAGTCAGAAAGCAGCAACAGAAATGCTGAAACATGTGAGACTGCAACTTTTTATTTGGTACTGAGTGAACTAGGCCACACAAATTTTACCGCTTTATTCCCAATATTTACAATAAAACAACAATATTCCCCTATTTTTTTTCTTTACAAAAGGTACCAAAAAAGCCCTTCCCACTTGTGCAGTTAGACATAAAACTTTTTAAGTTACAAATGTTCAAAGAAAGGGGGTACTTTTGAAAGACCTGTGATTTTAGTAACATAGAGGATTCTCAAATAAGGAAAGCCCCTCTGCCACTGCAAGGTCAGTGTCTTCTCTGAAGTTTGTCTTAGATGAGAGTACTTAATATTTTTTCTGCCCTGGATTCCTTTGGCAGACTGATGAAACCAATGGAGCTCTTCAGAGTAATGTTTCTATTTTTTATTTTATTTTATTTATTTATTTTGGCAGTGGGGTTAAGTGACTTGCCCAGGGTCACACAGCTAGTAAGTGTTATGTGTGTGAGGCTGGATTTGAACTCTGGTCCTCCTGAATCCAGGGCTGATGCTCTATCCACTGTGCCACCTAGCTGCCCCCAGAGTAATGTTTTTAAATTCAAAAATTAAAAGACATCATATTACAAAGGAAATTAATTACGTTGAAATACAGTTATCAGATTATTTTTTTAAAAACAAGTTCATAGGCTTCAGGTTAAGAGCCCTTGTCACGGAGAGTTGCCTGGAGAACTCAAAGGTTAAGTGACTTGCCCAGGGTCACATAGCCAACTTGTGTCAGAAGTGGGACTTAAACTCAGGCTTTCCTGGCTTTGAGATTATGTTTTCTATTGGCTTCATCAAGCTACCTCTCTTTTAAAGGAATTCATATTTTTAAGTTCATTTAGCATTTTTTTCCATTTAGCATTTAGCATTAAAACTGGAATGGCTTCTTTTTATTAATATTTCCTCTCTGTAGGCTAATGGCAATACAGTTAGGACCACAGAAATAAAACTTCATTTGTTTATAACCAAACTCAGATAGCATATGTAGAGAATCATAAATTTTAGAGCAGGCAGTGACCTTAAAAATTATCTAGTAAAAGCCCCCTCTCAGTTTGCAGATGAGGAAACTGAGGCCTACAGTAGTTAGTCACTGGCCCAAAGTCACATAAGTAGTAAACAAGGTAAGATTCAAACCCATGTCTGCTAGCTCCAAATCCAGTATTATTTGTGTTGAACCCCACTATTTCTAAGTTCCTCCACGCGGCCTAAAAGAGATCATTAGTAATAATAATAGCATTTACATAGCGCCTTAAAGTTTTCAAAGTCATATATTTATATTTATGTAAGTGTGTATGTATATGTATGTGTGTATATATGTATATGTATATATATATATATTATGTATATGTATATGTATGTGTATGTGTATATGCATATGTATATGTACATAATCCTCACAACAACTTTAGGGGATAGGCATTATTTATATTTATCCCTGCAGCTAGGTGTTGCAATGGATAGAGCACTGGAGTCAGGGCGTGTAGTCAGGAAGACCTCCTCTCCCTGAGTTCAAATGCATCTCCAGACACCTACTAGCTGTGTAACCGTGGGCAAGTCACTTAACCCTGTTTGCCTCAGTTCCTCATCTTTAAAATAAGCTGAAGAAGAGAATGGCAAATGACTCCAGTATCCTTGCCAAGAAAGCACCAAATGGGGTCACAAAAAGTCAGACATGACTGAAAAATGATTGAATTGAACTTATAATTATCCCCATTTTACAGTGCTAGTAAGTGCCTGAGTCAGGATATGAACTCAGGTATTCCTGACTCTAGGTACAGTGTTCTATTCACCACAGCACCACAGGCTTTAGTACTAAATAGGAGAAACATTATTAAAGAACCTAACAACAAACAAAAGCCATTCTGAGAGACGACTAACAGCATGTGATTAGCCACATATTTCTACAACGTGACTAATATAGCTTTTTCACTCATCTTTTAAAAGTAGTTACAATGGAGTGATTATAATGGGATAAAGTTATATAAGACAATTGATCTGATATAAATTCAAATCCTGCCTTTTAGGGCTCCTGTATAATTAATTTAGTTTTATGGAAATGGAACAGAGGATATAAATTTTTATTCTGTCAGTTAACTAGCCGGCCTTTATTAATGAGGCACTGTGCTAGGTGCTTAGAATACAAATAACTGAGATGGTACTTGCCCTCAAGGAGCTTTACGCAGATAAGTAATATTGAATACAGTGATTTGCAAGATAGGGGAGGAAGAGCTAACAACCTGGGGGAATCTGGAAAGGCTTCTTGAAGGAGGTAACACTTCATGTAGACTTGGAAGGGAGCAAAGAGAGATAAAGAGGGAGAGCATTCCAGACTTGGAGGACAGCACATGCAAAGCCACTGAGGTAGGAATTGGTTTGTAGGGAAACAATAGTATTATGGTTGACTGAAGTTTATACTACTATGAGAGTAATCAGCCCGGAAAGGTAGGATAGAGTCAGATTGTGAAGGGCTTTAAATGCTAAACAAAAGCAGTGCATTTAGGCTTGTGAGTAAAGGAGACCTAGAGGGTTTGTGCCTGATTGTTTTAATCCCCTTAACCTTCAAAAATCTTTAGTGCCATGCCTGCGATGTAAATATTCCATTAAATCAGTGTTTTGGAGTGAAACTTTAAAAATAAATTATTTACTCAACTATTTCAGAAACAAGAATGATTTAAAACCCCTCAACATCTGTATGTCATCCCTATATTCTGCCATTCAATCTGACCAGGCATTTGACTTGATTTGCATAAAAAAGAATAAAACCTAACAGAAGGTTATAACTCAAGGATCTTTCCCCTGGGATCTTTTAAAGGGTCATATATCACTCACTTAACGGTATTCCTTTGCCTGCTTTGTTGCTGTAATTAAAATTTATTAGAGCAAAATATAGGGAATATTCTATAATCCAGGTGATTAATTTGTCTCTTTAGAGCAATTAATTAGAAACCTAAAAGCTCCCTTCATTCTACTATTAATAATAAATTTAGCAAATATACTTTATGTTACTAACTCCATTTTTATTCTTCTGTTCCAGGTAACAACATCCATTTTATACACCTTGATAAGAATAGACTAGATCACAAGCCCATAAACTCCATTTTGCAACTTGCCAGAGTTCAAAAAGTGAACTTCACAAGTAAGTCTTTCATTATTGACATATGATTTAGAGACATACTTCTCTTTTCAAGACTTTGTCTTGAGGGGAGTAAAGTCTTTAAAAGAAAATTATGAGATGATTAAGAAATGACCTATCAGTTGAATAAAACATACCATTTGTTCATAATTTATCCTGAATATCACTATGAAACATCAGAAATCTTTATAAGGTATTCTTTTTGTAGCAACTCATAGTTCACATACTTCCATTCAGTTCACTTAATGCACAGAAAAATCTGTCCAGTGGTCATACATGGCAGACCACCTGTTTAGTCATCTGGTAGAGCCTTCTGCTTGAATATTGGGGGACTGGATAATAAAATGTTTATTGCTCAACTCAACCTATTAACAGATAAATAGTCACAACAAAAACATGCTCAACTGACAGTTTTGCTATGAATTATTTCATTTTCATTTTCTTTTTTGCACGTTTCTTCTTATGACAACATAGAGATGTAAATGTTTGAAAGTTAAGTGATGTATTTAAAAAAGGAAAGTATATTTTTTAAAAGAGCAATGTTTCAAATTTTTAAAAAATAAAAATGGAAAAATTTCTTATAACATGTAATAAAGATAATTAATCATAATGATTACAGAAAGATTATCCTTAAAGAGTCCAAACATATTGATCAGCAGAGATTATGCAATGAAGTGATGGAAAATGTGTGATTTATCACTGAAAGATGCAAAAATTTAGCCATCTACTGGATAGAACACAATCAATAGGATAGATATACACCAGAAACTCACTGTCCTTTAGAAACTAATTGACATCGGAGCAGCTAGGTGGTGCAGTGGATAGAGGATCAGTCCTGGATTCAGTAGGACTTGTGTTCAAATCAGGCGTCAGACACATAACACTCACTTAGCTGTGTGACCCTGGGCAAGTCACTTGACCTCGATTGCCTCGCAAAAAAAAAAAAAGGAAAAGAAAAAAGAAACTAATTGACAATAAATCCTCAATGAATACAGATCCCCCAAAATATCCTTGAGGATTTAGTAGACAAACTACACTGGAATAACAACATCGTTACAGATAGAACTGTTTCCCACAAAAACCCAGATATAATATTGATCGGTAAGAATTTCACAATAATATTTAAAATAAACGTCCTCATATACTTATAGTCTCCCGACCACTTGAGATGGAAAAGCTTTCAAAATACAGAGGTAATTAAAACCATATGGGAACAAGATAAAGTATATGTCATCCCTGTCCTCCTGCCTATGATTAGCTTTGTCCTAAGGGTGCTTTCCAGCAAGTCAACCAAAGATGTGCCAATGTCCCAATGCTCTAATTCTGTTTTTTTGCTAGGCAGTGGGGTTAAGTGACTTGCCCAGGGTCACACAGCTAGTGAGTATCAAGTTTCTCAGGCTAGATTTGAACTCAGGTCCTCCTGACGCCAGGGCCGGTGCTCTATCCATTGCACCACCTAGCTGCCCCCTCTAATTTCATTTTTTTTAAGTGATAATTTTAGTTCACAAAACATATGGCTACCACAGCAGCTAGCCAGGCACCACAAGTCAGTGGCCACTAAGGTTAGTGACCTCCTTTTACTGTCCTTTACCTGCCCTCGTAGTTTTCCTTGGGTTCATTGCACTAGAGCTGTTCATTGCACTGGGGCTGCCTGTCTCAATAGAGGAATAAGATTTCTAGTGCTACAATTCCACTCCAATCTTAGCTGTCCAAATGGGCAAGTCACTTAACCCAGTTTGCCTCAGTTTCCCCATTTGTAAAATGAGCTGGAGAAGGAAATGCCAAACCACTCCAGCATCTTTGCCAAGAAAACGCCAAATGGGTCACAAAGAGTCAGACATGACTGAAAAATGACAACAACAAAAATATTTGGTATTATTCTTTTATTGTACATATAATAAAATGATATATAGTATTATTCTGTTATTATATATAAAATAAAATTTTATGCACATATATGTACATGCACACTGTGTATGTGCTATATATCTGTATCTGTCTACATACATATATATATAAAAGAATGATACCAAGATAGTAACTTGTCCTCGGACTATTTCTGAATTCTATCAAAAAAAAATGAGAATGAGGCAGCTAAGTTGGTTCAGTGGATAGAGCACCAGCCCTGAAGTCAGGAGGACCTGAGTTCAAATGTGACCTCAGACCAAACACTTAACACTTACTAGCTGTGTGACCCTGGGCAAGTCACTTAACCCCAACTGCCTAATTTAAAAATAAAAATAAAACAAAATGTTTGGGGGCAGCTAGGTGGCACAGTGGATAGAGCACTGGCCCTGAAGTCAGGAGGACCTGAGTTCAAATCTGGACTCAGACCAAACACTTGACACTTACTAGCTGTGTGACCCTGGGCACATCACTTAACCCCAATTGCCTTAAAAAAAAAAAGATGAGAATGAGATGATGATAAAAAATAATAGTGTGGTCATATATGGTTAGATATTGGCTATCTTCCCACTTCAAAGGTGAATTCATTCATAGATATAACTAAGAACCTTGATTCTCTAGGCAAACCCAAAAGGTACCCTTAAATTAACTTTTTTTTCCCTTTTTGGTGAGGCAGTTGGGGTTAAATGACTTGCCCAGAGTCACACAGCTAGTGTTATGTGTCTGAGTGCAGATCTGAACTCAGGTCCGCCTGACTCCTGGGCCAGTGCTCTATCCACTGTGCCACCTAGCGCTTATCTTTTTAAGAAAAATATTTTTGTTGGAAGGAAGAGAAGAAAGCTCCTTGGGATACCTCAGAACTCACGACAGACTGCCTCATGGACACTTCCCCTCAGGGACAGAGACCTGTAGTGAGTAGAAATGATGCTGAGATGCAGTTTTCTCCAGGGTAAATTAGCATTTTAGTGACCGTGACGCACATACTATTATTAAAATGGGTCACATTGGCACCTAAGCAGCAAACCAGGGATAGGAGCATGACCAGTTTATTAGTTAGTCTAGCAGTAACAAAGAAATTGGACCAGTGGCCTTCTGTTGATGTCCAAAGATCTTAGTGAGGGTGGAAGACGGGGTCTTTTAAACACCTGGGAGTGTCTTCCTTCTAATTGGCCTGATAGTACACTTTTTGGATCTCTCCTGGCAAAGGCAAGGCAATCCCAGTTGGTAGACATTTTAATGAGGAGGTAGATCAAGAGTTCTCAGCTCTTCCCTATTACTTCATTGCACTGGGGCTGCCTTTCTCAATAGAGGAATGAGATTTCGAGTGTTTCAGTTCCACTCCAATCTTAGCTGTCCAAACGGGCAAGTCGCTTAACCCTGTGCGGGGGAGGAGTGAAGGGCAGAACTAATCCTCAAATGATAGGATTAGTCTGCTGCTGGCAAAAGTGGGCTGGCATTCAGATGTGGCTGATTATGCCCCTCTCTGACACTAAAGGAATGCTAGTTGCTTTTTGAGACCCAGCTGCCTCTAGCAGTCTTGGCTAGCAAAACAGAAGCCATCTCAATCAGGTTTCCCCTGGTTTGGTCTCCCCGTTGAAGGTCAAGTCACCCCTAATTTTGATAAAGGAAAAGCAAGGACAAAAGACTTATCTCTTGAAGGGCCTAGACCATGCAATTTCTCTGTTTATGGGATAAAGAGAGACAAGGGGCCCAGCCCACAAAGATTAACTAGGGATGTCTAAGGGGCTAGGAGTGATCACTTTACTAGATCACGCCCTTCAGAAATGGCCTGGTGAATTTAGACTGAAAAAAGTGGGATCTGACCAAATAGGGAAAAGGATGGATTTCAGATCAATATGATGCAGCATTATATCAGTTTTCTTCAGACCCCTAGACAGAGGAAGTTGCTTCTGGAGTATCCTGTGTCTAAAGTAAAGGAACTCGGTAGGGCCAGGCTAGAGAGGAGCTTACTTTTGTTGTGGTAAAGCCTTTGGATTCCTGCCTGAGTTGGGGGTGTGCTGGCCTTCACATCCATTGTAGCTGCAATGCAGGCCCCTGACTCATGTACCCATAAGGCTTTTTGGCCTGTGTTTTGTGACAGCTTGGGTAACTTAGATCACACTTATCTCAGGCTGGGGATGCCTCAAGAGTGGACTGCCCCAGTTGGTTATAGGGACAGTCTGTCCTCTGGAGACTCCATCTTATGCTTCATGCTACACCAATGACTCTTAGATCCTCCAACTCTGGTTTGGAGCAAGGGGGCCACAGCAACTGTTACCTCCCGCTGCCCTGGGACATGATTATAAGTGAATTGGTGGTTTGTGGCAGATATCAGGGACCCAGGAGAGCACTGTCATAGTTAAGGTGGGGACCAGTTGAGGGAGTGGATATATATGTGTCGATGGCATGATAATAGGTAATAATTGTATAGCACTTTAAGAACTTTTTTTTACAGTAACTTGTCCAGTGTCATATAACCAGTAAATATCTAAGGCAATAAAGAGTCAAGTCCCCAACCCCAAGTCCAGTCTTCTCCATCTATTATATTCTCTAACTGGTTAAAGTGGAAAACCAAAAAAGAGTGATTTCTAGTAGTTTCTCATTTTAACCAATTCTTGCTAGTTAGGTGCTCCCTTATTCATAACATGTGGTGGGAGTAATATTCTGTCAACATCCTCTAAATTTCAGTGTCCTAGGACAAAACTTCTCATCTTATGTCCTTTGTTAAGCAAACATTGTCTACAGCATTTTGTTGCAAAAAATAAAAATGCTATGAATTTTTATGTGCATATTGATGACTTCTTTCTCTTCATAACCTCTTTGGGATATAGCATGATCCCTGGGTCAAAGGTGTGAATAACTGAGTAACTTTGCATAATTCCAAATTGTTTTCCACAATAATTGAACCAATTATCATGCCTTTCTTCCCTTCCAAGGATGCGTTTTCCCATCCTTTAACATCTCTGCACATCCCAGGATTGTTTTAATTTGCATTTCTTTAATTATTAATTGTTTTTAATTTTTTTTTCAGTTAATGGTTGGATAGTTTGTGATTTTTCTTTTGAAAACTTTCTTCTCCTTTGCCCACTTTATTGAGA